TTTTCAAAATCCTAGAAAAGTACAATACGTACATACAATCAGGATCCATAAAATTGCCTGAGTATATTGAAATGTATTAAATCAAATTTAGATATATGGTAAAAAAATAGCAAAAACAAAGCGAAAAAATCAATTTTCATGACTAAGGGTCAAAGGTCAAGGTCAAAATGGCCAATTTTGATAGATATTTAAGAAAACTAAACAACATTTTTTCTGTGTCATAACTAATATTTGTGTTTTAGATAACAAATGAAGAAACAAAGTTACAGTTCTGGTCAACAATAACTAGCATCATATGAATGTGTGCCCGTATGGACAGAAGGTCAAAGTTCAAGGTCACAGTGGTATATAAAGAACTATGCACGCTAACTCTCAATTCCCGCCTACATTTTGCTACCATTTTATTCAATATTAATGGCAATTTAGCAATAAAATCTTTATTAAATATATAAAAAACAGTTAAATGGTATTTGATTCATTATTTTAATACCTGTGCTAAATAGTACATTATCCCTTATTCCAACTCTTGAATTAACGGGGGGGGGGGGGGGGGGGGGGGAGGAATCTATGATATTTTCCATTGAAATACTTTCAAGCATCACCATATTTTGAAAAAATCTTGGATGTAATTAAATGTTACACAGATTTTTTCTCATGTTTTACACAAATAAGTAAAACATACTTAATAAAATACACAGTTTAAGCTGTTAATCACTTTGAAATTGGGAGAAAATAGTCATTTATTTTCTTTTTTTTTGTCTATAAAAATACCCTCCCCCCTCTGTCTGTTTTAACATTTTATTTTCATGGGATATCTTAAGAAGCCTATGATTTTTTTCAATTTGAGTTTATACCAGAACTTGCTTTGGCTTAAAATGACCCCTATTTATTTCTAGGTCAAAAGGTAAAGGTAGAAAAAGACATTGTTTGTATGTAAACCTCTCATTTCCGAGTAATATCTCAAAAAGCGTTTAGGTTAGCTTATTTTTTGTTCATAACGCTCCATGGTCCCGCCCGCCCCACTTTAAGTGTCCCATCCCCTACCCAACCACCCTCCAACACCCCCCCCCCCCTTAATCTACAGAAATTTTTATCTCCTTAAGCAGGGGAAAAATATTCTTTGAATTAGCTTGTTAATAATGCATTTATACTCGGTTATTCGGAATACTGGTATTGTAAATGTTGTATCCTGACCTCGATCCCGTATATTGAATGTATTTAATTGAAAACTGGTTTTACATTCTCCTTTTAGGTTGATGCATAATGTGAAAATGCTAATATAAGTACAGTTTTCAGGTTTTATTGATATAAAGGTAGGCATTTAAGAATATTGGACGACTATACACTTTCCATACTGTATACAGGGAACTTTTCGCCCCCATTTTATTTTCGCCCCTTTCGCCCTCTTCTTGCCTGGGCGAATTTAAAACGGGGCGAATTCAAATTACACAGCATAATTTCATAAACAGAACTATGAATGGGCGAATTTAAAACGGGGCAAAATTGTTTGCATGCGCAAAAGGGCGAAAATAACACGGGGCGAAAATAACCCTGTATACAGTATTGAGTGCAAGACTTCTTGTATGTAGAGAATTGCGCTACAAGAATGTAAAGACACTCTTCTGCTGTTTTAGTAAACTAATCCCTTGCTCCTAAATGTACATTTTTTAAACCATATTTAACAATCCGAACTTTTCAAGTAACAGTCAAAATGTGTTTTCCAGTGACTTTTTTTCAGAGAAATTGACGGGAAAATCTAATTTACTTTGAAATATCATTCTTTAAAAAATTAGATTTTAGCGATGTTGATGGTATAATATTTCAGCACAAATATGCCTGGATCTACGCAAAAGATCTGATATTCCCAAAGTTTAATCAATAATAATCTGTTGTAAACATCTGCTGGACCTGTTCGAATAATCTGCTATTGTGCTTTAATTAATTGTTTTTTTTTGGGGTGGGGGGTCAAAAATTATTTTCATTATTAATAAAATACTGCTAGACAGATTTAATATTGTATTGCTATAAGTTTAAATCATAATGTATCTTAGTCTAGAGAAATGATAAACCGTTAACTTTAAATTTGATTCACAGACAATTTGTATTTCTATGCAACTACCCCAATCATCAAAAGTATATTTTTGACTGGTTAACAAAACATTTTATACTTGTTTATCCTGTTCCAACACTACATAATATGACTGCGTTTACTATGGGTTAGACGACGACCTTTGATCCAGAAGGGGGGGGGGATTAAGTTAGGTTTATTTTCATGGCAGGACATATCATTTATTTCCAAGATGTTTTTTAGGGAAAATTATTAATTTTCTTCTTCACAGAAAAAAGTCTTAAGAGCAAAGAAAAAAAACAATAACAATAATATATATATTAAATGCCCAAACTCTTTTTCATTAAGGAAGGGGGGGGGGGGGGGGCTCATATAGGTAACAATTTTCTAACCCATATATAATATGTATTATACCATGGGTTTCAAAAAATATTGCTGAATTTCAAATAACGACCTGTGGATGGGAATTGTAGCTATTATTCAGTATATTTTTTTTTCCTTTCAGCCAAGGACATATTCAGTTTTTTAAAAATTATTAGTCTCTATAATAATATTCAGTTTAAAAATTCATTTGCTTTCTAACGCCGTATCCATTGCAGTCCTCCAGTATATCACACTGACTGATCGTAAGACACAGTAATTCTTAAAAAAAAAAAAACAAATTCATAATACAAGTAATTCTGATATTTCAAATTTATCTTAAATCCCGTTTTGAAACTCCTTAGACCTTGAGACTAATGCTTATGTACAGAGCTGATTTCCTGTACTATGTAATCTAGCTTTTACATTTCACCATTTTTCATATATCAAAATTATTCTTTTGCATGTAGGATATAAACAGAGGCTAATATTTGTATGTAAATTAAATAAACAGGAAAAACAGTTGATTTTACTGGAATTCCTGGATAAACAGAGCTGTATGCTGACAATATGTAAACAACTTCCAGTCATTTTTATATAATAATTTTTTTTATCTTTCTTACTGAAGAGCTCACAATTATCAAAGGGAGATAATTCAATTTCAATGTTATTGTCTGCTATTTTAATCAAAGAATTCTCATATTTATAGAGAGAATACCAACAAGGTTTTAACATGCCTTTTAAAGTTAGATGTTATATTTCTTATTTCTGTGAGTAACATGAATTGAAGTAGCCGCATTTCTTTAAAAAACTTTCGCAAATATTGCATTTTTTCACAAAAAATCAACTTTAGACACCGTTTCCATGGTAACTACTCAACATTCATATGATCTAACTATATTTTTTGAAGTAGTTTATGAGGTGGTACTTTCCAGCCAAATTTGAAAAAAAAAATCTGTCACTATGCGTGCCACAAAAGTTTAAGTGGTTACAGAGAATGGATATTAAATACTTCATTTTTATGTATTTCCTCTATCGGGAAAACGAATGCGATATTTGTTTTTCAGTACTACGTCGCCTTTAAAGTTTTATAATGTAACATTTTCATTGTGTTTGGAAAAATAGGCAGGTTTGGTGGGTAGGGGTGGGGTAATTGTTAATCTTTAGACACTTGACACTAATTTATAACATTTTTATATGTCTTCAACCTCGGAAACAGAGTAGACAATACAAAAATTTATTACATTTTTACCCGTGAAATACTGTAATTTATACATTGAATAAAAATGATATCCTGTCACAGTGTGAAAGGATATCAAAATGATATCCTGTCACAGTTTGACGAATATCAGAAGTGCGGGAAAACTCTCGATTTCCCTTCCAATAACAAAGATTGCTGTAAAATGATCTTTTACCTAATATAAGATAGATGGAAATAAATAAACTATTCTGACAGCGAATAAAACTGTCAAAATTACCCAAAATATGTTGCTAAATCCATGTTTACAGTGTTCTTACCTCACTTAGCTATGACGTCTCCGCTCAACTATGACGTCACGAACTTATGACTGTATTACAAAAAGACAGAGGCAAAGGAAATATCAAAGAATTATTTTAAAAAATGTAATAAACAGAAAATTCAATGTTTTGTAGTTGAATATGGAATTTATTTCACTCGTGAGACATGATTTTTTTTATATTCTCACTCGTGCTTCGCACTCGTGAAAATATCAAGAAATCCTGTCCCACTCGTGAAATAAATTCCATATTCAACTACAAAACATTGAATATCCTCTATATATATACTCCTGATATATGTATTCTATTTAATATTTAAAAGACATAATATAAACTGAAGTATATCTTGCTGATCAAAAATCCAATGATTATTTTAATTTCATATATATATATATATATATATATATATATATATATATATATATATATATATATATATATATATATATATATATATATGAAACGTTGCTTAGGGAGACCACGGAGGATATATTATCTGGCTTAGGGAGACCGCTGGATTAAGGCGACCTTTTCTGGTCTCCCTTATATTTTGACCTCATGAGTATTGCAAATGACGTGTTTTAGGTAAATAAACAGTCTTTCATTAAATAAAAGTTATCTTTGTGTCTGTGATTTAACATTTAAAAGTTGTCTAATTTCTATCATCTTACCTAAAAAAGAAAAGAATGTGTTACCTGTGTATAATTTCAAAGGATATTTTTTCAGCATTATGCAGACCACGGAAAACATGCAATAAAATGAAAAATCTTGCATATAATTTTTTTTCACCGTTTGATGTGTTCAAATGAGTGTTTTTTCAACTTATTTTTCCATTTTTTATGTTAAAAAACTTAAGAGGAAAAATAATGAAAATTTATGCACCAAGTTCTGAATTCTTAGCAAGTGCTTTCCGTCATTTGTTCCGAATACCATCGGAATGCCTCTTCAGTTTTCAGAGAATGACCTTTGAACACCGTGAATGTTGTGAAAGAGTTGTATTGCGGTAAGTAACTTAAATATTATAGTAATAAGTTGTATTTTAAAATACACAAGAAGAGCATTGCTTTTTTTTGGAAGGGGGTGGGGTAATTAAACTTTGAAGAAAGAAAGTAAGATTTTAATTAAACTATGGTTCTGTATTTGAACCTGAAGGAAATTCGAAATAAAGTTAAATGATGTCATAGTATTTTATTCTTTTAAATTAAGCAAGTCCACAAACAAAATTTAAAAATAAAGCCGAATGTTCTGTAGAAAAAAGCAGTCACTCTCAGGCTGAAGCACCTATTCAAGCTTTATGTAATAACAGTTACCTCCTAGTCTTAAATGATTCTATTTTTATTTTGCCTCGTGATCTTTTTTTTTTTATTTGCTTATCAACAATTTTTTTTTGTTGGTAGCCTCGTTCAACCTGAAACTGATAATGTGGTGTTTGGTTGTACTAACCCCCCTACGTATTGGGTAGGCCTATACCATGTATACTCTCCACTCCTACACTGTACACGAAAAGTTTACATTTCAAGGTGTTAGAAATTCATTTTTTCATAGCATTATGATATTTCGAATATATAGTGATTTGTTAAGTATTTTTATCCAATCAACAAATCATTTTCTCAGCCTATAGTATCCTAGTGTACCCATAAATCGTCCCCTTACGACATTTGACGTCATAGTAACGACGAGCGCGTGCAAATTGATAAACAAACTTCAGTGCTAGTTATAGAATGGAATTGCTAATTAAATGTTAAAATTTATCTTTTCTTACCACTCTTCACAAGATTTTTAGAGCTCTTCTACATAATCAAACTTTTACACTTAAAAATATCACCCATACCCTATTTTCGTCCTTCAGATATAAAACGGCCGCATATGATTGGTCTATTTGTTCTCCCGTGATTTGTGATTTAAAAGGTTGGAAAATCATTAAAATAAAAATTGTAAATAAGTTCTTCTAGGCAAAGTTTAAAAAAAAAAATGTTTATCAATTTAAGAACATTAAAAATGCTTTCGCAATTACCGACTCCATTTTTTTAACGAAAAAAAAAAAAACATGAAAGTGCTTTCGGATTAAAATTGTCAACGATGTCATGTATGCTCATCAAATTACCTGATATGCGATTTAAACAATGTTTTATTTTTAGATTTTCCAAAATTCATTGACCTAACTGGCAAAAGCCGATAGAAAATCAAAATATTTGAACAGTGCAAGTCTGGCACAATCTGAAATGAAAAACGATAGGAAAACTATAATTTAATGTGTAGACTTGAATTGATCACCTAATTACATGTATTATAATAATATGTGAAATATTCACGTAACAGGGGAAAAAAATTCATCTACTAGCTCTGCAGTAGATGAGAAATTAAAGAATTCGCAGAAAAGATCTTGTTTACTTGATTATATCGTGAAGTTCGCCCCAGTAGACGCAGGATTAGTAATGCTTCAATGCACATTGCACCTGTCAAACTGGTAAAAATTGTGACAAAAATACACCTTCTTTGATCGGCTTAATAAATCGACAATTCAAAAAAATAAATTCTTGGTTTGTTGAAATAAAATATTTTCTTCTTGATTACTTGACTACTTACCGACTTTTTTTTTGCAGGCAATGGGGGAGGGGTGGGGTGGGGGGGGGGGGGTGATGAGGACTTGCGACTGGACAAGGTCAAAAGTAGATCTTTTCAAACAATGTGATCATCAATGCTTGGTCATGTTGAAAGATTGATTTTTTTTGAACGGTGGTGGTATAATAAATTCTTATACACGTATGGTAAATATTTTTGATATAATATATTTGGTTTTATTTATTTGCCGTCTAAATAACATATTCCTGTATAGAAAAAATCTCAATTATCAGGATTATATAAAAACACACACAAGAGAAGGGAAAATCAGCAGCACAGTATAAATTGTTTTAATGTACATGTAGTACCAACAGAATTTCTATTGTTGGAAGCATTCACAGCCGTTATAGTTAAAGTGAGTGTTAAAATCTTCGATTTTTGGAGACTCTATCATTTGCAATGATGACTTAGATTTTTTTCCCTGAAATAATTAGGGATACTCGCATGGCCGCATAGTACGTCAACCAAACACGGGTAACGTCAATATCCTAGGTAAGAAGTGTATAGGATCCTTATGATTTTCGAGTGTTGATTTCTTTTTATTAAATTCTTAAATTAAAAGCCCATGCATGTAATTCAATACACTGACAGGTATAAAATAATAAAATGAAGGAATTTTTGATCTGGAAGTAATTTTGGGGAACGTAACTGCTGTGTGCACTTTCAATAAAAAATGGACATAAGGAAAAATTAGATATTTTAAGTATTTTTATTTTCTTTAAGTTTAATACTAGTTTAAACTGCAAATTCAAAAAAATAATTGCTAAAACAGTTGTATCATTATGTTCACTAGTCATAACAATTAAAAATGACGTCATCGATACAGAGTTCGAAACGTGCTGGTCTCGAGAAGTTTGGGGACGAATTTAGGGTACGGACGAATTTAGGGTACACGACGATATGTAGTTCCCTGCATTATTTTCAGCAATTCAGTGACAGAAATAAAACAATCGTTTGAGGTTTAACCCTCCCCCCATTCCCCACGAAATGAAACTGAAAATGTTTGGGTTTGCCCCCCCCCCCCCCCCTCCTTTAACTAAAATTTATTCCTACATCAGTTTAGGCATATGCTTGCGGGGTGCCCCTTTCTGAAGATGTGACAGGGAGTGAAACAATAAATTGTTTGGACGTACATTTTTGTATTATATGCATATTTTAATGGATATAGAAATTAAATTACAACCATTTATGGTTATTTTAGAAACAATTCAAAATTATTAATTTCTTATTTTATTTTATTTTGTTGTGGTACAAGTACCCTTTTTCTATAAATATCATCGGGCTCGAAGTGCCAAGTTTTTATAACTACATCCACTAAACACGTGACATGTTGATGTTGTGCCAGACTCCTCTCCGGCCCTTCTTTGTTGTGTGTAACCAGGTTTGTGGGTAATAAATACTGTTACTTCTTGGAGATAGTATTGTTTTAATCGTCTCACGACATCTGGAATCGCCCGGACACGGATCTACCGTTTGTTTTTGTTTTTATGTCGGTTGATTTCCGCTGATACTAAAACAAGTCCCACGGAGAAAATAAGTCCCACATGAGTCCTACGTGAGTCCCACAGCAAAAGAGCCAATAAATACATATAATAAAGGGTTATTTTGAAAGAATATTATATTTATATGATCATATATCAAAAAAAGTCTTGATAAAATGTTTTAAGTGTGTTAAATAGACGATTGTAAATTTCAGACCACAGTCAAGAACGATAACTCTGTTCAAATGTAAACAATGGCCAGGAACTATATTGACAATGTTTAATTACTGCTGATAGCTAACTTTTTTTCTAAAAAAAAAAAACAAAATAAAAATTTTTGTAAAAATATATTTTTAATAAGGAAGTTAATTTAATATGGTGTTATTTCTGAATTTAATATGTTCTTCTGTTTTACTTGAATTTTTAAGTTTCGTTTGAAAATATGCTTCCAATTATCATGATTATATTTTATACAACTCAAATTACGTTTTATTTTATTATCATAATTTTATATCATTACTTTGTTTCTTACAAACTAAAATAGTTTTACTGTGGTTTTATGTAATTTAACAACAACTTGGTTAGTTTTTCCTGACACCCATGGTTATTGTGTATATACACATTTCACAGACACCTGTAGAGGTACGGACCCTGGTATACCTGTACACAACACCTGGGGGATGTTATTCACACCTTTCAATCTCCCTGTTGTTTGTATACCTATTACAATAACTTTTGAACAAGGCTGGGGCTAGGTTACACCATTTGGAATTCAAATAAAATATTTAATTAAATGTAGAGTTATTGAAATTTCAGCTACTATTTATGTATGACAAATAAGGTTATTAATAAAAAATTTTCGTATTTGATTTCATAAATAAAAAAATTCCTTGAAAATTGAATTAATGAAGAATTATGATTTAGAATTAATAGACTAAGTCAGCATAAACTGTATTGTAAATTCTTGACGTGTATGAAAAGATTCCAAATAATAGTATTAAAGGCACAACCATGATGTTTTGTATTAATTTGTAGAACAAATACCATGCAGAGAATTAACTGTTTATATCTATCTATTTTCTTTATTAAAAAATGTGTTTATTAATCATCATGTAAATAAAGATAAAAATTTAGATTATTTAACAATTAATGTTAAAGCCAGTTATACTCCTGGATATGGAACTTGTCAAAAAAGAGTATTTTTTAAAATAAACTTTGAATTTTATAGTGATTTGATTTACACCATGAATTATATGTACCAAAAAAAAAAAAGTCAACGAATTTAGATGTTTAATTTAATTTTGATCTTAAAGAATTTTTTTTTTTAATGAACGAATTTTATATACGGACTTCAGTAGCCAAACTTTAATAGTCCATAACTATTCCTCATTTCACTGAATTGTTATAAAATACAAAGTATTATAAAAGTATTATAAAAGTTTAATGTAATTTTTTTTTTAAAAATCAAGATATCATTAAAGATATCATTAAAATACTAGTTTACCACTGTTGTCAGATATAAATCACTTTCAATTTCATACCGTGTTATGAATGAGTAAACTAATTCACTTTCTATATCTTTAAAACAATACTTGTAGGTCTATTTAATTTCCTAGGACTGTATAGTCGTATTTTTCAAAAGAAAGTTTGCATATATTAACTAAAAATCTCTTTCTCATATGCTTGATAGATACAAGACTAAGATTGAAAAAAATCATTGAATTTCCCAAGTTCTGATGTTGTAAAATTGTTAAATTTATATAAAAATTGATGGAAAATGTCTGTTTTTGATAGTAGTTTTTTTTAGTCGTTAGAACTGCTACAGAAGGCACATAAACCAAGTAACATTGTGAAAGTTTCATAAAATCTTTAGAATTAAAATTTGGATGGCTTGTTACTTCAATTCTTGAAGCAGATGTAAGAGTTATTGCTCTTTGTTTATATTACATGATCATTAGAATACATCTTAGAACTTCTTGCATTTTTAAAATATAATTAATTTTATAATAAAATTATATTATCTTTTAATTTTTGCTTTCAAAAACTACTAAAATGTTATCATTTTTGTTGGGATTAGGAAACACTATAGAGTTATATGAGGATATAGGAGTTATCGTTCTTTGTTTTTGTAACTAATCATTGTAACCGGCTTCTAAAACCTTTTTTGCGACAAAATTTATTCAAAATATATCTAAAACAATGATTATCTATAAAGATATGTTGTTAAATATTAATAAAATATCATATTTACTGGTGGGACTCATTATTTTTCTGTGGGACTCATGTGGGACTTATTTTCCCCGTGGGACTTGTTTTAGTATGTCCCTTGATTTCACCCGACTTTTCCCACACGTGTTTTGTCAACATTGATTGATAAATTGTGATTCGTGTGCATTCATTTTATGTAGGTTATCGTGTTCTTCTTTAATATCTGAGCATAATTGCTTCTTTTTTATGTGTTTATAAGTTTATTTCGTATTTTTTAAATTAAGTCAACAAATATGTGCATGAGTGAATTAACCTAGCCTTGTTTCCTGCATTTTCAGTGACAGATAACCAGAATGTTGGATTGCAGGGAAGAACGAAGAGCCTCGAAACAACTTTGAGGTTTGTTTATTTTATATTGACACTTTTTAAATTATTATCTTTATGGAATACCCTGTGTGCAGATGAATATTTAGGAGACTACATTTTAAATTTCATAGGCCTAAGTTGGTTAGGCCTAATATCATGAATATGGCTCATGTATTTGCAGTGACTCTGCCACCAGCCCGCGTGTGTTTACATGTAATGTTACCTGTTTACATTACCTACAGACCTTGTAAACATAATTCTCGTAATCTTGTTTTATGTTAGTTTACCATATATATTTCCATTTCCAATTGTTTTCTCTGTGATAACACTACAAAAGTGAATCTTGTTAATTTCATGGAAATACCCTGTGGTATGTATATTTCTCTTTTACTGAAAGGTCAGGTGTCAACCTGCATGTATATCACTGGCGTATAAATATACTAAAGAAAAAATAGATGTTTTGTTTAATTGTTTAACTAAATAATTTGATATGATATTTCTTTTCAACAAACAAAATAAATAATGAATTGGCTTGAAAGCAAGTCACTAGCGCAACGCTGTCCACTATCACCAGTGATTGGGAAGGCCAAAATGGTCAATGGGACTATGGCGCAACTGTCAACATTTTTGATGGGCCATTTCTAAAATGAATGGGCCATCAATATAATTTGAAGGGCCATTTCAAGAAAAAACAAAGTGACTAACCAATAATACAAGAGAAAACACGTTTTTAATTAACTGAATCCGATTTTTAATGCATGAAATGCAGCAAATTTAAAGGAACTTGCTTAGAATATAACTGATTCATATTTTGTGTTAAAATTACGACAGTTTTGGAAAGGGAACAGCCCTACCATACCAATGAATGAAGTATTGCACCTCATGTAATAGCACTGGTTCTCTGCCCTTGATTCCAGTCGCTGCCGCTAGGAATTACAAGGACAGGTAACCTCCGCCGCCATGACAGTGGAAAAACTCACTGCTTGCTCCGCGCATAGTACTGCGCATTCCAAAAATAAATGGCATCAATGCTTGCAGAGAAGAATGTTAGGTGGATCCAACGATTTAAATAGCAGAGAAAACAAAACGTTGTAGCATATCTTTCTTGATGAATAGAGCAATTGAATACGATGAAATTGTTCAAACAACATAGTAAGGACTTTATTAACTGAGTATATCATTAACTTACAATATATTGTCACAAGGAACTTTCAAATGTTCCGTAGTGTTAAACATTGTAATCCTCCTCTTCCTGGTGCATGTACCATAACACATGGAGTTAGAGAGACGAGTTAAAGCATTCCCCGTAAACTTTAGAACATAAATAATGATAAAGAACAAGTGTTATAACTAAATCGATGATTTATTTCTCATATCAGTGGCAAATATGTAGGAAAATTAATCATGCAATAGATCTTGATTTGAATTATTTTGGTAGTATATGCATATGGGACCTGTGATATCGCTTTACATTTAATGGTTTTTGAGGCAGCACTTCTTTATGGTTTTATAGATGCTTAAAATCCGTCTACTTTCTTTGTTAACAGCAGTGTAGAGTGCAGAGAGAAGAGTTTATTTACTTCAGCACTTGGATTTACGCTAGTCTAAATATAGATTTTTTCATCAGTGCTGTTTCCTGTGACGCGATAAAATGGCAGTGGTTACCTGTCGTTGGTTTTTAAGGCGCTTGCGCCCGTTAACCAATGTCAGGGTACCAGTCTACTCATGTAAGTGCTTCGTTTAACCGGAAGTACTTTTTGACAGGTTTCAACCAATGAGATTTTAAATTATTGTTTTAAATTGACTACATTTAAAACGAAAGTAAAACAAGAAAGAAAGTCGTACGCAAAATATTTCCAAATAACATCGCTAAAAATTGAATGCGCACCTTGGCGCCAGGATTGATTGATTTAATGCGCCATTTTTCACTTCAATGCGACTATGGCGCATGGCACAAGCCCTTCCCAATCACTGTATCACCGAGGCCTCGCGAGACCGAGAACACTTCCTGGTAAACAGCCACGTGGAGAAATTGACATTGCCACGTGGATCTGCACGTACTCCATCATCTGATACAGACATCGTCCCTCAGTCATTACCACCCGACTTCTTAAGCAACTCAATTTCTTCTGTTATTTTAACATCCATACAAATCGGTTTCCTGACCATGCTGACCAACTCCCGTTTCATCAACTGCAACATTCCATTCAATATGGCGGCGGAGAAGTGACATAGTGCCTATATATGCAGTCTTCACGAAAACTCACTGGTCCGAAGACCGAGGCCAGTGAATTTTGAGGTCGGGTCAGTGAAAATCAAAATTCAAGAAGTCCGATGGGCTCGTTGATCATAAAAATCATACAGTCAAAATTTATTTCAACTGATTTACTTACGTAAATTTCATTAATATATAAAATAATTAAAAGAAGCTCGTGTTATTGAATCCTATTGTTATAACCCTATTATAACATGGATGTATTAATTACGTAAAAAACCGGAAGTAGCTAGTAATTATTAACTAGTACGTAAAATGTGCAAAGTTCCAACGAACAACTTACCGAAACGCGAAAAATGGCGGCATTTCAAAAGTTGAAGTACGTAAACATGTACAAGTTTATCTTTTAAAAAGATAGGTGAGCTAGCGCCGTAGCAATTTTTAAACACAGAAATAGATCCGTGATCAAGTGATTTATTTTGCTGCATTCTTTAACTTTTTCGAGGCTGGAGAGAGATAAAGTTATTATTGTTTTGTGAAGCGTATTTTATAGAAACAAGGGGTGGGTGACCTTTACTGGAGAGGGGGGGGGGGTTCTAAAATATGAAGAAGATGCCGATTGAGACATTGCATGTATGAGCTGATTTAAAGAAGAGAATTTCTTGGCAATTTAGAAAAAAAATGGGATTGAAAGGAATATAGAAAATAACTCAAAGTGTATGTTGTGTAAAGAGTCCAGAGAGTTTGGAAGGCATGTGAAGTAGCTTGGTCCTTTCGGTCATCTTTGTCAAGATATGTTAGGTTAAAAGCCATACACATCCAAATTTTTTAAACACAAATAGTGGATTTATTCGTTATTTTTAGTGTAAATTCTTGCTTCTGTTTCTGGAATTTGTAAGATTGGCTGAATTGACCAATCAGAAATTAAAATCTATCTTTGGTTGTGCTTAGATGTTAAAAAAAAATCCCTTGTCATTGTTTAGAACAATATGATGACTCGATCGGGCTTTTCTGTCAAAAAAAATCCAGAATTTGAAATATTATAAATATGAAGTTATCTTTAAAGTGTAAGCTACACAATAAATAAACAGTTATTTCATGCTACAACATTATACAACGAAATTGTTATCGTACGGTCTGTAGTTTTCACAGTTTTCCCGATTATTAACTAGCATGTAAGAGGATGCTTGTCGGAGATTACGGAGACAGCCGAGCGTCTGGTTGAGCAAATTAGTTTTCCCAGAATGCATGGCCATGGCGGCCGAGCATGCGTATTCAAGGAATTTGGACTAACGTAGTTGCTAGCGCTCGAGAGCGCTAGCAATAAATTTACAGTTATGAAAATGTATTTATTTTATTTTTTTATGAAAGGGACCAGTAAAAATTTTGGTGGGCTAGTATATTTACAAAGTTCACTGGTTTGACTGGCCAGTTAGTTTGAAAAGTTTTCGTGAAGACTGTATATGTTCTTGCTTCCGACAACCTAAATCTAGGTCACATATATAATTAAAGTTAACAAGATTACTTTGATCGTAATTTAAAATTTTTTTGTTGTTTATTCTATAAATGTTGATATTTCACTACAGTATCTAAATTATCAATAAATTTGTTTCGTGTTTTTTTTTTGGGACTATTTTTTAATAGTAAAATTTGATGTCATGGGGCCTTGTGCATTTCAAATCTACTCAATTAGACGGTATTTCGATTTATTTTAAGATGGTTTTTTTTTCAAGTAAAAATGGAAATATAAGAATCACTGTCTAGTATATTGAGTATGCCAGGGACATCAACCATAGTGGAAACATGGGATAATTTTTAGCAAAACAGGCTTCGCCTGTTATGCAAATTATCCCATGTTTCCCACTATTGTTGATGCCCTGGCATACCCTCAAAACTAGACAGTGATTCCTTAAGTAACTTTACTGTTATATAGATTTATAGCGATCTCTTTTTATTTAGAAATTTCGGACTATCAGTAGACAATACATGTATACTGGTGTCTCATTATATCGCGGTACTTAAAACTTTAACATAAAAAGTGTAATTCCAATTTTTTACTTATACTTTCATCAAATGTCAAATGATATTCATATTTAATGCTGTAAAATAGCATACACCTATTTACTGGCTATGAGGACAATAGCAAGTTTATCGTTCCCCAAGACAGTAAACTTTCGCCTCGGGAAATCATGGAAATAGTTTGCTGTCGAGGGGGACAATAAACTTGCTATTGTCCTCATAGCCAGTAGATAGGTGTTTTATTATACCGATGCTGACTTAACTTTTGTTAACTTTTGGGAGTCCTTAATTATGATATTCCATATTATACCAATGCTGACTTAACTTTTGTTACGTCATAATATGTACGCGTCACAATCCGTATAAAACCAGAAGTTTTCCGAGATGAAAAGCGAGGGAAACAGAATGCTGCCGGTGAATAGTTTGATGACTATTTCACCATGGGCAGATAGCACAAAAACTATTTCACAGTAGGGGCTGTTTGGAAAAGATAGCATGTTTATTCGTCATGTTTTTATACTGAACAAATTTACGGAGGTATAATAAACAAATTTATTGTTCTTGCAAATAGTTCTCAAACGTTGATTAAAGTTGGTCTCCTGAAGGATGTTATAATGCAATTGGTCTGCTTAAGTTATAATTAAAACATATATATTATTATTTTACTTTGAATTTGCATTATGTCAGTCATTAGACATGTTAGAAATATATGGATCTTAATTCCATTTTTTTTTTTATTTCCATTAAATACCTAATGTCTATTTGCAGGGTCTATGATAGAATTTTGTGGACCCAAGTGGAAAGAGAGGAAATCTTAGCTCCAGGGTCAACATGTCTTTATTCCAAGAAAGGTAAATTGATAATTACTTTTGCTAATATACTCTTTTATAAATTGTGTGAACAAGAATGAACAAACAATGTAGTCATACCAGTAACCTAACAACAGTTTGAAAATGAAAGTGCAATTTATGATCACAGGAGTTCGCGAACCTATCAATTTTGCCGAAATTTTCAATAAATAAAAAAAATACGTAATACCTATAATAATAACACAAGGAGTGCAACGGTTGTCCGTGACGCCATGACGTGACATCATGGGTGGTCCACTTACCCAAAAGGAAAAAAAAATAAACAAACATACACGATTAACTAGAGATGACGATATTATTTAGATATGAGTACAAGTACTTTTACCTCCCCATTTTAAATTTTCTTGAATGTCTACTAACTTGTCTCTGGTTTCTTTTCGCATACAACCTCAATCGTCTAGATTAGCATTTCAAGCAGTTTTGTTCCTCTTGGGGTAAATGGATGCGCCCGTGATGTCACGTCATGGCGTCGCGGACAACGGATATTTGAGCGAAGTTGTGGAGAAATGTCACCGCTGCTGCTGTAAAACATGCATTTGAAATCATGCATTAAGAGCCATAAAGAATGGTCCCTACCAAAAAGATTGGTTTGTGTTTTATGATTTTCGATTGAAGATTAATTGTGCAACAGCCTTGATATTAAGCCAGGGGTTCCCAGGTGACCTAAAATGCGTTGCACTCCTTGTGTTATTATGATACGTATTACGAGGAGTTTCGTAGTAAACAAAATATGCATTGCATAAGCTGTGCTATTTATGAATGTGACATGCGGGATATCTTGTATAGTTTGTGCTTTTTCATTTGCGTTATTCACTTAAGGATGCTAGACTGGTGAAATATACATTGAATTTATATTGAAATTACTTGAATTTAACGTAAGACAGTATCAATTATGATATATAGCTGTGGAACTTATTTTAGAATTGTTTACTGAAGCTTGAATCTGATTGGTCAAATTTTTTATGTGCATTCATAATCGAAAGGTCACTCTGACGTGACCCGAATGAGATATTGTTAGATGTTTGAGAAGCGGTAGCAGATTCGGAACATATAATTTTGATTAGATTGATTTACATGTAGACATTTCTTATCCATATTTAGAAAGCAAAAATATTTTGACTTAGTTTTAAATTTTTTTAAACCCTTTAATTTAAACTTTCCGTATAAGTAGAATTTTTAGCGAGGATTTAATTTTGGCATTATTAGCGAGGGTGCTGATATCGCTAAAATTGAATTTCGCTAAAAATAAATTGTGTATTATTTGTAATACCTTGTTTAGTAAGCATTTCAAAATCGGTAAATTACTTCTCGCTAAAAATGAAATACCAGATTTCAGGTAGAAATCGCTAAATTTGCGTCTTGCTAAAATTTCCACTTATACGGTATTTGAAATTATTAATTTTGAAACTACATGTTGTTACATTTAGGCATGTGGGTATACGTATGTAAATATCCTGTACTTTAGACAATTAGTACACCTATAGTTTTGAATACAATTCATACATTGATTTCATTTGCTGCAATGGTCTTTTGTAATATTGCAAAAATGCATTTGGTCCACCTAATGCATGTATAAAGCAGTTAATGTATATACTCGCTTATGATCATGCTTATAAGTATTTTGAAGGGATTTAAATTCTGGTCCAGAACTCTATATCAAACTTATAAGCAAAACATAAAAAGGTAAGTATGTCCAATCCAAGTTAAACATCAGAGCATTGATCTCAAATGGTTAATGTATTCTGTCAAAAAGTTGCACCAACTTATAACAGTCCAGTCCAATACGAAAAATCGTAATATTACTAAAATTCGTAATATAAGCAATTTCTAACCCTTCTAAGATTTACTTCCCTTTTTTCTGATACAATCTGCTTGTTATGTTTCATGAGAGATTATACGTCTCTGGTTTCATCAAATCATCGTGGATATGCATGCATTTTCTTTGTTTTGATGCATTTGATCCAAGAGCATGCAGAGTCAGAGCCTAGTGAAAGTTGTACAAGTTATATCCCGTAACATCTCGTTGTTGGAGATGAGGGTCTGATTTTTAGGGTAGACTTCGGGAAAAATATAGGGAATTCGGGGATTATAGAACACTATGACAAGTTCTAGGATACATTGAAGTTTTATGGAAAATTGTTCCCATCCCTGGGAAAATTCTTATATAAGAATAATAATACAAAACTTTCACTCACCCATTACTATTGTTACTTTCTTCTTGCGTTTTCATACTTTTCGATAGGCGTCACTGACCAAAATGACCACGTGATACTAGTACCATTTTGGCATAATGTATTTCTGACGTCATACTTTGCTTAACATCATTCAGTTTCTTTAAATGCTTAATTTTGTCTTACATTACGAAAACTCGTAACATAGTCTCTCACAACATGCTATATTACGAGTTTTCGTAATTTAACTATATTACGAAAAATAGTAATATAAGAATAATATTACGATATTCTGTAATATTACGATTTTTCGTATTGGACTGGACTGTATAAGCAGGTAAATACCAAATCCCTTCAAAACTTGAAATAACCTGAAAAAATACACCACATTAAAAGCCAGTATATACAGTATAGTTTTTTTTATTTTGATAATAGAATAACACTATAAACATGATAAATAATGAATTTTGAAAAAAAAATAAATTTAAAGTTAGGCCATAATAAATAAATTGCTAGATTCTCATCCGAAATTTTTTAAAAATCAAGGCGGGCGGGCGGCTTTTATTTTATATTTTTTGAATTTGGAGATTTTTTATTTACCGGGTCAAATGGTGTAATTTTATCTACAATACCCGAATAAAAGTCATAGTAAAGGTTCAATTATCTCTTACTTCACATCATCACCAATCTTTTTAACTGATGACCCTTGTTTAAAATATATATGCATGTATTACAGCAATTACCATCTTTTCAGCTGTCAAAATCATATCGACTTTCGCGGGACTTAAAACGAAAGTAGAATGGTAGATGAATACTGATCCCGATCAGAATTAAGACGAAGAAAAACAGAAATTTAAAAAATCGAGGCAGGGGTATAGAATCAATTGGGGCCGGGATGAGAATCTAGGAATATTTTTATTATGGCCTTAAATGACGAATGTATATAGTATAGAAATATTGTTCATTCGCCTGTACACAGTACAAATATGCACTTTACAGAGTGGCCTGGTTGATTCAATTAGGAAAGAACAGGAAAAATCAGTGCTAATGCTCATTGGTCATTGGACAAAGGTAAGGCCATTATTAAAAATATTCTGTTTGATGTACACAAGTAGCCAAAATCTCTTTGAAAATGGCTACCGGAAGAGATATTTGAATACTAATCTACGAAAAGAATGAGGACAGTTTTTTTTTCTGGATTGGTCTCTGCAATACCAGCTTTTCATTTTATCAAAAATTCAATAAAATTAGCAATGTGGCTACCTCAAAACAGATGCATGCGGGCCCGAGAACCAGAATTTCAATTTTATGTAGCCTTATTTGTTTTACTTGGACAAAATGATAGCTGTCATAAAAATCACAGACCATATATGTACGAGGGTTGTTCGAAATGTTCGTGGAAGATATCCATCTTCGTTATATTACTCACCGGAAATTCAAAACAAGCACATTATAATAAGCAAAAATATTTGTTTTGTTGATGTGTGAAGTTTCATTCCATTCGATTTAACACAAATAAATTTACTTCATTTTAAAATCAACATGTTTTGTACCCGTGGAGCACACATAACGGCAATGTAACGTCAACACATAGCGTCGAGAATTTATAAAAGATACTATACCTATTCATTTCACACAGAATATTCTAATTCCCATTCATTAAATTATTTTTCTAATACTTGACATTTATTTTTTTAAGAATTAATCTCTCTGTATAATTTCCTTTGTAAATGTTTTAATTTCTTTTAGTACTTAACTCTGCTTTCTCAGGATAAGCAACTCTGAAGCGCATTTGTCTTTCATTTACGTTTCAATTTTTAAAGTTTTGTTCAGATGTTTACAGTAAAACCGTTTCTTCACAGGTCATCCTCATCCGATACAGAGTCCCTGTCACTCAAATATTGCCTGTAATATATGTACACACATGCACAACTTGCTTGTGACTTATTTTCTTGATTCCTTCAACATTTTTAGAGTTTATTCAGGATTTTTCTTGAGAAAAACACAAAATTGCTTCGGTACCTGCTGCCCCGTGACGTTCTAAAACGTCATCATTTTTGTCGTTTTCAATAAGGACAACTTGTCTTCTCAAGTTGATTTCTTTTCAACAAAGCAAAATATAAAACCATAATTTGGTACACGTATCAATGAATCAATTCTTAATTTGAATTTCTAGGTAGTTTTTCGTTTTTCCTCCATTTGACAGAAAATATGACTATAGACATTATTTATGTATTATCTGTAACTGACTAAATTTTGACCTGCTCCACGATCCGATTTCTGCATTTTTAAAATCTGGATAAGTCTTTAATCAATCGTAATATTTTGTCAAAATTAATACATATCATTTGGATTTATTGTTAAAATATTTCTACCAAATTTGGATAACATATGACGTCAAATAAAAAAGATATGACAGTTGTCCACATTTCGAACAACCCTCGTAATTTTATATTTATTGCTAAAAAAATTTTTAATCAAAAATCACCCTAGAAAAATTATACTTTGTATACTGTGGAATAGAAGGAAAAGAAATTAAATATTTAAATTGCTGAAAAAAATGATTGGGAAGGGGTGATTTAATTTGACTGGTCAGTCGGAGTACATCCAACAAATCACATATTGCCTAAACACATGCTATTAAATAGATTCATTTCATGAAACTAAACATGTAAATTACTATGATACCATTTAAGTGGAAATTTTAGCGAGATGCAGCTCTCTTATATTTAGCGAGAAGTAATTTTAGCCATTTTAAAATGCTAACCAAAGAACCTATTACAAATAATACGCAATTAATTTTTAGCGATATTAAATTTTAGCGCTGTCAGATCCCTCGCCAATAATGCCAAAATTAAATCCTCGCTAAGAATTGTACTTATACGGTATTGCAATGTCACAGATGTATTGATTTATTTAAGGAATCACAGTCTAGTTAGTAGAGTATGCCAGGGCATCAATGAGGGTTGGGAACGTGGGATAATTTGCGTGATAGGCAAACTGATGATGCAGAATTTATCCCACATTTCCACCTATCCTTAATGCCCCTTGCATACTCTATTAACTAGTCAGTGATAACTTCATTTTCATTGCATAGTTAAATAAAATTAAAAGTTTAGATTTTTTAAATGTACACTAGTAGGTTAAAATTAAACAAGGCCACTGGCGTCAAACACAAAGATAGCAGAACAAGATTTACTGTACATGCATATTAGGTCTCCTTAGAATCAGATACAAAGACAGACGCACTAGATTTACATGCATTTTAGGCCTTAGCTCTTTACCAATAGCTTGGCAAAGCTTACAATTGATTTCTTGACCATTCTACTGAAATGTAAATTACATTATATTAGAGTGGATCTTTAAAAAAAAAATATGCAGTTGATTTAGAAGCTCTTTATTACATGCATTGTTTACTTTAATTACAGGGGTGTATGCCAGAATGTTTTGAAGAACAGTCTAAATCTAACATGGAAAAAATGAGGAAAAACAGCCTTCCTGCTTACAAATCTATATTCTGACAAAGGGTAATTTTGTTTAATTCAATTAGAAGTGCATATATGATTATGCTCCCCCCACCCCTTCATAGAAAGGGAGGGCATATTGCTTTGCTGCTGTCTGTTGGTCGGTTTTATAGTCCACCACTAGTTCATTTCCTTCGCAGAGGTTGCACATATTGAATTGAAATTTGGTACTGGTGTACGAGGGGTGATCAAAAAGTTCGCGAACTATCTCTATATCTACAAAACCACAATTCAGATTAGAATGAAAATTCTTAAGCACATAGCCATACACAAGGTCTATAAATAGCATATGCTGAATAAAGTTTTTCTCCTTGTTTGTGATGTCACAATGTGCAAATAACGTCACGATATAGGTCACTTGTGACGATTAATGGTTGTCTCAGTCGAACTCGTTCAACAAACAACTGTACAATTTATCGTATATCTTAGAAATCCCTCTGCAGTATCATATAATAATTTGTACACAGCTTATTAAGATAAATTGGGTTCTATAAATTTGATTAATGCGCAGCACTGTTAAGGCTTACTACGAGAAATCAACGGAAAATAGAAGTGTAAAAACGGGAATTGTTTTTAGAACTGAATTTATTTTTATTCAGCTGCACTATTACCACAGAACTTAAATACTTATGGAAATAGCATAGTATAACCTACTCTGTACTGTATGGAGTTTGGTCCCATCGATGGACAGTCACGTGATGAATGCATAGTAGGTACAAGGAATGTAGGTCATGAACAAATTTCAATATCGCAAGGGAATACCCTAGTTGAAATTAAAAATTCAAACTATTAATTGTTTCTGCATATTTTGTACTTTCTGGAAAGTGCTGCTGCTTTAAATAGAATTCGCGTTTTAATAGTTATAATTTCAAGTAAATAGGCTGATGTCGAAATATGTTTGACTTTTACCAAATATTTTGTGTACTTATAAAGTCATGCTCTCGATTTAAAGAAAGCAGCAGCACTTTTCAAGTTAAGGAACATATCCTTTATTTATATTCAAAAAATGGTCAAGATTTATTTAGTGTATGCCCTTGCGAAAAAGCGATTTTATGAGGCACCTCAATGTAAAATATACCTAACCTGAACATTAAAACACGACAGAATTATTTAAATACATTCTCTCGATAGTTGATGAATAATCGCACTTAACAAAGGATAAACATTGGTATTATTAGCCTATTAAAACCTGTAAATAATATTACGTTTTATAATAAAACGCATTTTTCATTGTTAAAAAATTCCCAAATCTGCCTTTCACAGTACATGAAATACGTCATTTTTACCAAAATGACGTCATGATTGACAAGTTTATCGAGATCAGTGATTTGTTTAAAACCAGCTGTATGGGATTTAACTAGCGACTTTTGTTAATGCATTGGTAAGTTTTATTGTTGTTTATTATGCTAATACAGTTTAAAGTTGCAAATTATTTCATTTTCGGTTAATATGATGAAATGCATAAAAGTCATATTTTTGTGTGACGTCACAGTAAACTTTTCCCGAATAAATTAGGCCCCGCCCCCTTTTTCTAGCCTTAACAGTGCTGCGTGATTGGATTGATCGTTTAAGTGAAGGAAGGCAGAAGGTTAAAAATGATACTTGTGATCTTGTCCAGTCAAAGCAAGTTTGAAAAGATATGTGATTTTAATTAAGCAATTTGCTATCAAAGACCTCCAATTTACACTTTGAAAAATAGTTGAATATTTGAAGAATAATATAATTATTAAATACCTAAGATATCGTTTACTTTGGATTTTAAACATATTAGATATGACAAAAAGGATGCACCCATTCTCTATTCACCTTGAATAAAGGTCTCTCCAGAGACAGAAGATTTGTGTTTTAATGGTTTATTTTTTGAAAGGATATTCTTATCCACCCATTCTGTTGCCGAGATTTGACCATTTCTAACAAATTAACTGTTATTGTTATAAAAATTTACTCACATGGAAAGAAATATAAAACTCGGAAAAATCTTTCAATTTTTGTGACAGAACGCTACGGAGGGGGTCACATGACCGCCAATATCACGTAATTCGTGCATGTGTAGAATGGTGGTTGATGTGCATTAAAATCGGAGAGGAATAATTTAAAATATAACAAACACTGAAACCAAATATTGTTTCTTTTATGGAAGTTATTCAATTAGTTCGCAAACTTTTTGATCACCCCTCGTATATTGTTTGATTATAAGCATGGGTTAATAAATGCATAGGAATCATCATGTCCATCTCTTTGTTTATGTGTTTGCCCACTTGGGTGATTAGCTTTTTTGTTCTAATTATGGCTGAGATAAATTGATTAAGGTCATCTGAATACAAACTATTTAAAGTAAATTACTATTGTATTAGGATGGACATTTTGGAAAAGATGTAGCTTTATTACTAGGGTATTATAAAATCTCAAGTTTTGAATGCTGATTTACATGTAGATAATAGTTGGTCTCCTTAATGCAGTTATAATACATTTGGTCTCCCTTATGCACACATTATATTATATAAATTTAAAGATCTACATGTATTTTTATTTGTTGTTTATTGATTGATTGTATACTGTTTAACGTCCCTCTCCAGAATATTTCACTGATATGGAGACGTCACCATTGCCGGTGAAGGGCTGCAAATTTGGGCTTATGCTTGGCACTCAGGGCCATTGAGCAGGGAGGGATCTTTATCGTGCCACACCTGCTGTAACATGGGGCCTCGGTTTATACGGTCTCATCCAAAGGACCGCCCCATTTAGTCACCTTTTACAACAAGCAAGGGGGTACTGAGGACCTATTCTAACCCGGATCCTCACGGGAAGTGTAATGTTCTTGTTAGATTTAGTTCATTTAACAAACATATAACTTACTAGGGTATTAAAATCTCAAGTTTTGAATACTGATAAAGTGATTTACATGTAGATAGTAGTTGGTCTCCTAAATGCAGTTATAATACAATTGGTCTCCCTTATGCATACAGTATATTATATAAATTTAAAGATCAACATGTATTTTTGTTAGTTGTTTAACAGGTCGAGGAAACTATTTTCTGTGACGTCGGAATAAATTTACATGTTTAGTGAGGAACCAACGTGACTGACAAATCGACCAATCAGCTCACTGAGTTGCATTGTGGGTTACTACAAAAAATACTACATGTGTGTTTCCAAAAGGCCAGTTTTTTAAATTGCTCTTGGAAAAACGTGATGCATTTTCCCAAGCATTTTACACACTTAATACAATATGAATATCATTATCTACTAATTACATGCTCACATTTATATACAAATGATTTACAATGGTAAAAATTAGGGTTTTCTCCACTCCATTGTAAAAGTCCGTTTGTTGACAGCTTTCCCTGTGTTATGCTGTCAGTGAAAAGTCATTTTACGTGACTATTCCTTGGTCCAAAAACAATCAACTCTGAGGTGTGCTTACGTATTGTCAATGTTTCCAACGTATACAACTTCAAATTATATGCTACTCACGTTCTGTGATCAATGTGCATGAGGGTTTATATAACTTACAGGTAAATAATAAAAAAATGCAACTTAAGAATTCTTTTTTGTTTATAAAATGCAACTTTTAATTTCTAGTTACAAATAACTGAGCAACAACTGAATAAATTTAACCAGTAACATAGCAAATTAATGATTATCAAGTTAAAAAACTTATCAATGTGAAGACTGTGAGCAGTAGAGGGGTATTTCAAAGTACTATTTAACAAGGAAAACTTACTTTATTTGTTAATGTCACCATGGGGAATCTTAATTAGTACCCAATCTACGTATTTTTCATAACACATTTCAAAAAAATTGTTTGCTGACTCTCCTGTAGTCGTTTGAAATCGCATCCTAAATTTCCCTGACCCATGTGTTTGTTAGTAAAAATAAACATGTAGCAGACTATCATGCTTTTCGGCTCATTCACTGGATTGGACTATTGTTTGCTGTGAGAACCTCTGTGCGCAATCGCGACAATATCCATATAAGGTAGTTTCCTCGACCTGTTTAATGTCCCTCTAATATTTAGTTTATTTAACAAAGCATACAGTGTAAAACTTACTAGAGTAATAAAATAAGGATATGGAGATAACGAACAGTATTCAATATTGAAGTCCGTAAGCAATATTAAATAGGAGCAGAGCAAACATGGACCGACAAAGCATCGGAGGTGAGATCAGGTGCCATGGAGGAATGAGCATCCCCTGCCGACCAGTCACACCCGCTGTGTACTCTTTGTCATAATCGGGAAATAATGGAAAATTTGTCATCAATTCAGTGTATAAATAATGGACTAACAATTGGTATGAAAAATGTCAGTAAGCATTTGACTCAATTATAAACTGTAAAAATTTGCTGACAAGGTCATTGTATCGACCATAGAACTTACAAAATGATGAATTTAAACAAGACTGCTGATATTCTTGTTTCATCAACTTGAACTTGCTTGTCAATAATTTACTTCTTTTTAGAAATTGTTTGTATGTAGAGCATGCTCTTGCATATCAAATCAACTGAGATACAGAGAAACCTGTCTAATCTGACATGCACGGGGAGAGCAATATTGTGTCGGAATAGACAGAGTGTCAGATTGCACAGTGTTAAAAACAAGGAAATTACTCAAATGGAAAAGAATTTAACATCGGAATTCACAGTGTGTCGGATAACTCAGATGTCGGATTAGACAGTTTTCACTGTACATACACTCCGTATGCAGGTGATGAAGATATATTGCTTCATAATTAAGGGAAGTTGACGATACAAAAGTCGTCACGTTTATCATATAACTAGGTTGTTAGGTTACCATTAACAGTGATTTACATCTTTTTCAAGTAAAATATCCAAGTAAGAAACAGATGTGCCAGAGTCTGTGGTATCTTTTATCTCAAGCTCTCCTGAATATATCGTATTGAAGTAGGAATGGAAACTACCAATGTTAATTGTCAACATGTTGTCGATATATCTGAGGGTCGAGTTGAAGGCCACAGCAAGTGTTTTTTTCTTTTCACGCATAAGATTTGGCATATATTCTACTTCATGCGAATACAAAAATCTCAAGTTTTGAATACTGATTTACGTGTAGATTGAAGTTGGTCTCTTAAATTCAGTAAAATTACATTTGGTCTCCCTTATGTATACAATATAAATTTAAAAACTGGCGTGTATTTTTGTTTGTTTCTTTGTTATTTAATTCCTTCTTAGATTTAGTTCATGTAATAAAGCATGTAATTAACTAGGGTATTGAAATATATCTCCACTTTAGGTTTACCATTTAGCATATTAAAATTAATATCGAAATTTCAATTTCAAAAAAAGTTTTATGTGCTAAAGGATAATTTTTGTTAAATGCATATTATATTATAATACTAAAGGTATATTTAATTCATATATTATCAATATAAAATTTTCATAGTAATAATACAGTTTCTGTATACCATGTTCAGTAAAAATCAAAGGATCAAAAGTTAATTAGAGGGTCACCACGAGTCCCAAACAAGGTGTACAGGGTATACACAGAGACCAGTAAGTAAATAACAATCAAGTTCCAGCATCCAATGATGGACTTTCACGCGCTTGATTGACAGGGCTACCCAGACCAGGTATTTTTGAAGGCGGTGCTTAAAATCTCTGCCTTTAAGCATTAAATTGTTGATTTTGGACGATTAGTATGTTAAGCATCTCATATCAGAGTAGGAAATTACTGACTGCCCATGGCAGTCTGTTTTTGAGGTAGGGATTAATCTCTGTGTATGTAGTCCTGGTCATTTAAACAACTTATCTCTGTTCTCTTTTAAGAAAATGTGCAGTTGATTTAGGAGCTCTTTATTATCTTCCTTGTTTACTTTTGCAGGGGTGTATGCCAGATTCTTTCGAAGAACAGTCTGAATTTAACATGGAAAAAATGAGGAAAAACAGCCTTCCTGCTAATCTATATTCTGACAAAGGGTAATTTTGTTTTTAATTCAATTAAAAGTACACTTATAATTATGCTTGCATCCCTTTCAAAAAAGGGAAGACATATTGCTTTGCTGCTATGCTGTTGGTAGGTTTGGTAGTCCACAGGCCTCTCACACCACTTTTTGGGACTGGGGCCGGGGCCGTTCAAATTGGGAAAATTATCGTCATTTTGGGAAAAGTTGGATAACACAAATTCATTTTTATAAAAAAATCCTCAAATTTTGCATTTCTAGCATTTTATCATCAATGCTAACTCAGGTTTGAATAAACAGTTAAACAGAACAAAATGGGTACGTAATTTATGAAAGTTTTGTCATTACTATCTTTGAGTGTTGATATTGCGGTTATATGTCTTACTGCGTGACAGTCGCTAGTCACATAGTCCCGAATTTCCTTGATCACATGGGCAACTTTGCTTACCAATACAGCACGAGACTGAACATGCTGAAGCGCGGGTTTGTTTCTAGGTGCAGCTTACTAATGTTTAAATGAAATGTCTATTTTTGAAACCCAATTAAATGCTGGTTTTTGTCGAAACTACATAACAAGATACTCTGCACTCATAGTTGTATACATTTTTGTAAAAACCATAACCTGGTTCCCCGAACCAGTTTACGAATGCATTTTGCGCAAACTAATAAAATAGTAGTACAGTTTCACTTTCATTTGCAAATGTGTTTTGTTTGTTTGTTTGTTTTTTTTTTTTTGCGATTAGGTTTGATGGACTTTTATTTTTTAATTAATATTTTACTCTGGATGGAAATTGGGAAATTTACACCTTTCTTTTGGGAAAAAGGTACCTTTTTTGCATTGGGAACGAGGCCGTTGAACGGCCCCAATTTTAGAGAATCGAGAGCCCTGGTCCGTCACTAGTTTTGCTAAATTTTCTTCACAGAGGTTGCATATATTGAATTGAAATTTGATACCAGTGTGTATTGTTTGATTATAAGCATGCGTGTATACATGTACATAGGAATCATCATATCCATCTTTCTGTTCATGTGTTTGCCCACTTGTGTGATTAGCTTTTTTTTGTTTTAATTCTGGCTGAGATAAATTGATTAAGGTCATCTAAATACAAACAATTTAAAGTAAATTACTGCACTATCGCATTGAGATAAACATTTTGGAAAAAATGAAAATTAATTGCTAGGTTATTATAAAATCTCAAGTTTTGAATACTGATTTACATGTAGAAAGTAGTTGGTCTCCTTAATGCAGTTATAATACATTTGGTCTCCCTTATGCATAGTTACATATATTATACAAATTTAAAGATCAACATGTATTTTTGTTTGTTGTTTAATGTACCTCTTATATTTAGTTTATTTAACAAAACATATAATTACTAGAGTATTAAAATCTCAAGTTTTGAATACTGACTTACATTTGGATTGGTCTCTTACATTTAAATAATAGAGTAGCATTATGCATGTACTATGCCTAAATAGTAGACATGGTGCATGAGCCAGAGGTGAGTGCACTATGTGTCAAACCTTGCCTACTATTTAGGCATAGTACATGCATAATGCAACACTATTGTTATTAATATGCTGACTGTTATAATTATTTATGTGGCAATTTGACTTTTTCCTGAAAATATCGGTGCTAACACGATGCTCTTGCAAGAACTCATTCAAAATCTTCATGCTAAAATTGGTTACATGCTTAGGGGTTTTTTTTAGGACATAAGGTTATTTTCTCTAAATAAGTCAGGATTTTCTGTCCCAAAGCGACTCATCTTTATTTTCTGTTTTGTTATTACGACTGATTTGTTTGCATACGTCAATTCTCATTGAAATTTTTCTTTCACACCCTTAAATTAAGAGTTAAATAAAAAAGCTTTTAATGACTTCATGACATCAGGTCATCTAACAGTCTGTATGTAATTAGTTCGAAACTATTCAAATAATATTTGTCTATTTCTCCTTATTGTGTCAATTGTATAAATTAAGTTTAAATATTTAATTAAATTCCACAAATCAGTGATCGTCTCAGTGGCGTAATCGATAAGGCATCAGACGGTTAAACTTACGGTCGTGAGTTCGTTTCCCGGCGTGAGCTTTGAAGAATTTTATTCAGTAAGTAAGTCCGTGCACTATTTTGGCATAGTATGCTTACATTATTTAAATCCTAAGACCACTATGCCAGAATAGTAGGATATGGGTTATATAGAGACAAACTGACAGGAAGCATAATAATAGGTAATAATACATTTGGTCTCCCTTATGCATAAAATATACATGTACAGGGTGTCCGAAAATAATTAAAGGTAACACTTTCAAACTTTTAGAATGCAGTTTTAATATAGAAGAATTTATATCAAAATATGTACACATATAAAGCAAGCAAGTAAGTTTAATCCGATAGCTTAATTTAATTAATATGTCAAAGAATATTATTTTTGCAGCATTTTAAGTACATAGTACTAATCGTCATTTCAATAATTAATGACATTCTCTAAGTGACGTCCTTTCACCAGCTTCCCTTCCCTAACTCGCACTTTGAAATTATCAATCACATTTTGACACATTTCTTTGCTGATCTTAAATTCTCGTTTAATATTTGACAAAAGCATATTTGTGTCCACTGGTTTTTAGTTTGTAAACGCAAGACGAGGTATCCTGAGAGAAAGCAATCGCACGGGTACAAATAGGGACTGTGCGCAGGCCAATATTGTCCACACTTCTGCACTTTTGGGTATCGCTGGGAAATTACCTTGTCACTAAAGATTTCATTGAGATAATCTAATTCAATATTACATGATGTTTGTGCTGTAGCACCATCTTGCATGAACCATACATTTTGCATATTTGCTGTTCGTTTTCGAAGCGCAGGAACAAAATTTGTTTTTCAAAATTGACAGGTATCATTGTGAATTAATAGTGTCTGTAAACACGTAAGGGCCAATCACTCCATGTGATGATATGGCACACCAAACAGTTAATTTTTCACTTTGCAATGGTCTCTCTGTGTAACAATGAGGCTGTTCATTTCCCCAGAATCTCATGTTTTGTTTACATATATGTCCAGAGAGGAGGAAATGTGATTTGTCTGAAAACCAAACATTTTGAAATGCATCTGTGTAATTGTCAGCAATGTCAGCTGCCCAACGACAAAAATCAAGTCTTTGAACCTGATCTGAAATTCTCAAACTCTGCATTATCTGAATTTTGTATGGAAAAAGTCTGAGATCCTTCCTAAATATGTCATGAACACAAGTTTTAGGGATTCCAGTCTCTGAGGAGGAATGTCTAATTGATTTCTCTGGACTGTTAGAAAGCATTTCTCGAAGCGTACTAACATTTTTGTAGAGTTCTCCCACTTGACCTGGGTCGACCTGCTTTTGGCGCATCTGCTACTGATCCATGTCACTCGAATTTAGATATAATTTTGTAGACATGTTTCCTGCTCATTACAATTCTTAAAATGGGATCCAAACTTTCGCTTAAAGTCCGTTACACATTTTGTTTCAAAAAATTGTTTAACGATTAAAATACACTTTTCTGACGTAAGTCACGCCATATTGAAATAACATTTAATTGAAATGACGTAATAGTGTTGGAACGTCATTAGTTTTAGCACATTATTTTTTCTCATGGTAAAAACTTTCATTTGAGCCCTTTCTAATGATATCCGATTCACTGTGAGAAATAGCTCGAGATTTAGCGAAGTTATCAAAATGGTAAAATGTTACCTTTCTTTTCAGACACCCTGTATTATATAAATCTAAAGACTGACATGCATTTTTTTTTTGTTTCTTTGTTGTTTAATGTCCCTCATAAATTTGGTTCATGTAATAATTAAAGCATGTAATTAACTAGGGTATTGAAATATATCTGAAGTTGTGAATGCTGATTTGCATGTGGATAGTAGTTGGTCTCCTTAATGCAGTAATAATATATCTGGTCTCCCTTATGCATACTGTACATTATGCAGGAATGGGGTAATTGAATAAAGTAATTGTAATTGAGCGTAATTAATTACATTTTTCAAAGTAATTGGAAGTAATTTGTATTTGAGCGAGCCTTCAATTACAAGTAATTGAATGTATTTAAATACAATTCAAAAAAGGTCAAGTATTTTCAATTATTTTTCAATTACATTTCAATTACTCTTTGGAAAATAAAAGTATATAAAAAAGATACACAGTTTTTATTCTGATGTGTTTATGCTACCTATTCCCACATTTTAAAAATCTCACTTCCACCTATTCCCACTTGCAAATAACAATAGATTGTTTGGATAGTTAATTTGTTTTACAGTAATTAGACTAACTATACATACCTCTTTAGATTTACCTGTACTCTATTCATTTTAAGATAGAAAATAATGAATGGATTTGTAATAAATATTTTTATCCTTCAAAAATATGGATTTGAGAAACTAACCAAAAAGATCTTGAATACACCATACTGGTGTAGCATGGGGTTGTGTTTGTACAATAATTCAATGTCTTATGATGTGTAATTTGTTTATACAGTGTGTCACACTGCCCAGTGCATTAATTAGGTAAAGGTCTATTTTTGTCCAGGTTTGAAGCCCTCATACCCAAGGACAAAAACACTGAATAAAAGTTCACTGTAGAAAAAATCTTCAATAAAAAAATCTGCATTTTTTTTTTTTTTTGATAAAAATAAAACCCGAGTATTTGAAATGTATTTAATTACATTTGTCAAAGTAATTGAAAGTAATTAATTACATTTGAAAAAATCAATGTAATTGTAATTGCAAGCAATTGACAAAATTATCAATGTATTTGAAAGTAATTAATTACATCTCAAAGTAATTGACCCCAAGCCTGATATTATGTAAATTTAAGTATCTATAATATGTGAAAATCAAAATATACTCTGAATGATAGTGGTCGTTGACTTGTTCTTTCAATTCAAGCACACAAGTCAACAGCCAAATTATCATGAAATATAGAATTAGAAATGATTTTATCATCTGTCCCAATCTACAAGTACGAATCATGAATTTAAGAATGTTAATATATTATAAATGCATTAAGAATTAAATTGTTAATTTTGGACAATTAGTATGTTTAGCATCTCATATCAGAGTTGGAAGTTGCTGACTGCCCATGGCAGTCTGTTTTTGAGGTAGGGATTAATCTCTATACTTGTAGTCCTGGTCATTTAAACAAATTGCCTCTGTTCTCTATTCTTTTTTTTTTTTCAGGGTATAATAAGTCTGTAGAAAATAAGTAAAGTATAATATATCAAGGGAGCACTTTTAGTTTAATGTACTAGTATGAGTTGACCTACGATTAGTGCTGTCAAATCGGATGATTTTTAGTAACCGGGTACTCGCCTACTTTTCAGTTCAAGTAGCTGGTTACGCAGATGATTTTTCTTTAGACCTCAAAATACCTCCTTTTGCAATATACTAAACAGGAACTAGTATAAGTATTTGTAACTTCGTAACCATTTCCATTTTTTATTTTGCATATTTTCCATATTATATATGGAATAAAGACAAGTACATGTGTATGCATGTAAATCTGCATATCTGACACGCTTTGATTGGCTAATGCACTGATGTGTGAATTAGTAAAATGAGCATGAACGAGGAAGAAGGCTTTTCATTGTGACTGCATTGCCTGATATAAATAACTGTTCTCTTATTCTTAGTATACATACTATTTTTGGTATAGAGGAGAAACTCTCATTGAATCTCAAGACATTTAAAATTACTTCTTTATTAAAATCTAGTTTGTAATGTCACTTATGTACTCTTCTTTCCCGTCTTTGGTGTATATAAACCATATCCAAAACAATTAATTACATCTCTGTGCGCCGGTTACACATTTGACGTCATTTTAATCAAACCCAATTCCAATGACACTTTGAAAATCATTAAACGAATTGTCTATTTCTTAAATGCTATTCGAACAATTTCTAAATGGAGGTAAATTATTGACAAACAAGTTAATGAAACAAGAATATCAGCATTCTTGTTTCAGGTCATCATTTTGTAAGTTCTATGGTCGATACAATGGCTTGTCAGCAAATACAATTTATCATCGAGTCAAATGCTGACTGACGTTTTCCATACCAATTGTTAGTCCATTATATTATTTATACACTGAATTGACGATGGATGTTTCCGTTATTTCATGATCGTGACGTTAAGCACACGGCCGGTGTGACTGGTCAGCAGGGGATGCTCACTCCTCCATGGCACATGATCCCACCTCTGATGTTTCAGAAGTCTGTTTTCTCTGCTCCTATTTTGTATTGTTTTATGGACTTTGATATTGAATACTGTTTGTTATCTCAATATCCTTTTTATAATTATGAAGTTTTGATATATATATAAGATTTTCATTCTGGTTTCACTGATTAAAATTTGAGGTCAATGTTTTACAATCAGTAAATTGCTATTTCTTTTGTTTGTTTACTTATATTCAGACCAATGGTGTCGACATATTCTCAAATAATTAGGATAAACTTACATATATGTACCACTCTTAAACTAGTGTACTTTTTGTCACTGAAGTTATGTGAATGGTCAAAAATTGACTAACTTTCATTTTTGTGTCAATTTCAGAGCAGAACGACACTTAGAGATAACTTTACTTGGTGCCTGTCTGTCCGTCTGTCACACTTTACATCTCCAGAACTGTAAGAGGTATGGTTTTGATATTTTGCAAATATATTTCTTGGCACTAGGGCTTTTGTAAATCACCATGGTTACTGACCCCATGACCTTTGACCTACTTTGCAAAATTATATTGCCGATAAATTTGGTAATTTAATCATGAGGAAAGCACCAAGTCAATGGCATTTTTATTTAGCTCATGCACTGATTGTCATTGAAAATGAATATGCTATTATTACAATTTACTTGACTTGCCCTTCTTTACAAAAAATATTCTGTACAGTTTGTTTTAAATTATGGCTTTCAAATTTTGAGAGAATTTAATTAGCATTTATACATGTTTATGAGCTCACGATACTATACTTTGAAACCCTCTCTTTCTGAGGATTTTTGGAAGCACCTACATGTGTATTAATAAAATGATAAATAGTTATTTCTCACAATTTCAATTAAATTATTCATTTGATTGCCAGATTCTATCCCAGTCTTTTCCGTTTGGTCCTTTTTTCCTTGCAGACAAATGCATGAACCTCCAAGGCTCCATGCTTATGTTATATTAATATCTGGCCACTCTTAGATTTATTTATCTCTTTAACGAAGCCACATAGCAGGCTACTTATACATTCCTCAAAATACTCTAGTTCCTATATAATATCAACAGTAAAATTATTTCAAAAAGATTTGATGCTTCATAGTGATCAGTCTGTTCATTCATCTGTCTGTCAAATAAACATATCCCTTGTTAAGAATACAGGTGACTCTCAATACTTCAATCTTTGATTTTTGAGTTGGCTCGCGTAGCGAGCTACTCTTTGCTGGCATAGCCGTTTCAGAGCTGTAAAATTTTTCACACATTCATCAAGGTCATCCATACGCCAAATATGATAGTTCTAGCAAAACATGCTTTTGTTTGAGTGATTGTATGAACAGATTTAAATTAAGAGGTAAAAACTGTATAAAATTTCATACTGTTTCATTATTTATGTCTTCATGCTTTTAAAGAAATTTTTGATTAAATATCTGTATGTTGTACAATCACTGCGTATGAATATATGTTCAAGCATGTTAGGCGGATCTAATCTTCCCATCTGAAGTTTATGTATAATTGATCTAGAATACTCCCTAACACAAACACCTGCTGCTCTCATTAGCTGCAGCTAGTGTACTTAAAAAATCTATTTTTAGAATCCAGATTTGCTGTGGGAATCTTTAAACTAATTACTCCATAACACTGACCACTGCAGTTAGTGTGTTTATAATTCATTATAGAATCTAGGTTTGCAGTGCTGATTTTCACAATAATATGTACGGAAGCCCATTAGTGCCAACCAGTATATATATATATAGGAAAAGCAATATACACTTTTTTTTTTTATAACTGAACATGGAGACATATAATATTAAATCTCTTAAGATGCAAAATAAACTGAATATAAGGTATGGTGTCCAATTGTATGAAAATAGCTCAATTAACTCAAGCGAGTCAACTCACAGGCTCTTCAGGCCTTTGATTTTTAAATTAGGTACATGAAGTTGCTTCCTAACGTCTGAAAGTTCTATTACAATCATCATTATTTTTATTAGTTTTCTTCATGTAAGTTTAATGTATTTTGAACTTTAAAACTTTTATTTGTGCCAGGTAAGAGAGAAATTCAGAAATTCTAAAATTGCCCTAGGAGTTCGTGGATTGCATCATACTGCCTACAGACCTTGACAAAAAACAGTGTCTTGAAAAAAAAAATGAAAATATTCAGTGTAAAATATTGATGAGAGAAAGATCCACTAGAAATCTTGAAGCCTTTCAGCTGAAATCTGGACTTAACTGGTATGTCTTACTAGGTCATCAGTCATGTATAATAAATACAATAAACACTTTAGTACAATCTTAAAATATATAATTTGTAGCTCGCATACTTCAATTATTTCATGAAATTTAAGTAAGAATGATAATTTCCTAGCTAGATTAAAAAATATTATTGTCCAAATTTGATATTGTGAAATAATTTATCTAGAATATCGGATATGAATACATGTGTGTAAACTTGCATGTAAATTAATTGTTAAAGCAAGTTCAATTTATCATTAAGTTGCAAGTTAACTAATTGTAGTGCATCTTTAATGTAAAAGTATGGATGAAAACCATTCGATTTTTGTACCTTTGAATGTATTATTCAATTTGTATAAGCTCTTTTGATACATTGTTTGATATTTTAGTACATGCAATCAGTAGATGTGTCATAATTTTGATTTGATTACTATTCTGTTTTTAAGAAGTAAAAAAGTAAAAAGTACCATGTAGCTTATTCTAGTTTTATAGTGGCACATGGGACTGGTATATCATGTATATTGAACTGTCAATGAAATAAAAGTCTAAACAGTCAAATATGCACTTTCTTGTAGTTTGGTATGGTATTAAATGTTAAACAACTACTTTTTTTTAATAAGCAAAGGATATGCTTGAGTGAGTGTATTTTCATATGCGGTGAAAATAAAATAATTTTTAAGCATTTGAATTATTTTGATTTTTTGTTTTGTTTTTGGTCTCTGCATGTTTATTGATTGCAAATATGCATATTGAACATGGCATCCACATATTGCTATACTTCATGCATATGGGGCATAGCTTTTACCGAATATTATTATCTTAATCATAACTTTGAAATTTTTTGTACATGCAGAACATGAGGTCATGGTTTCAACTGGTCAACTGTATTAAAGGTATCACTGTCCAGTTAATAGAAGCCCTGGCATAGTCCACAACTACTAGCTAGACAGTGATTCCTTTTATTTCCATTTAATTGTGAAAAAAAAAATTGTTAATTTAGATTTGAAAACTTTCAAAGAGTCATCACAGAGACTGAAAACAAATAGAAATATTCTTCAATCACAAAGTATTTAAACAGATATAGATATTTGTTTCCCGCAGTGGAATTCAAACACATGTCATAAGGATCAACTTCTTAACTCATAGACTTTTGAGCATAGGCCCTTACCACTGTACTACGTGGGTGACAGCAACAAGCTACTGTACGCTTATAAACTGTACTCTCTATATAAGATTTAAATGCAATGACTATATTTTTATATACAACATGTACAAGGTTACCTCACCTAACTGATCATGTTGAGTCATATTAGCACAAGGGTGATTCCACAAATTTGAGACAAATTTTGTCCCTCATGAAAAACACCCTAATATTCCTGTTATATATAACAAAATGTCCCTGATTTTGTTCCAAAATCAAATAAAAAGATATTCTTTTTTGTATTGATATGCAAAAATGTTAAAGTTTGATTTTAATAATGAAATATAATATCTCTGATTCATGTATCAATGACGTATATCAGTGTCCCTGTGATAGACTTAACACTTTTTGTAGTTTTTTTGACGCGTCTAGTTTTTGATTTTCAGTTTCACTTGTCTTATTTACTCTAATAATATTCTCCTAAATATGTTTCTTTTTTTATTCAGTAGCTTTATCGATCATACCACTAAAATTTAGTTGTATATTTTTGTGTCACTTAATATTTCGTCATGACCGAAACGATTGTGCAATCTGCTATTTAAAATAGAGTTACTGCCCTTTGAATTATTGCTCTCCATAAAAGAAGGCTAATAAACTACCAAAAGTTTTGATGGCAGGAAAGGAACAGTGCAGGTCAAAGGGTTTAGAAGAAAAATCCCGTTGTATGTATCTTTTTTTATTAGTTCCTTTATGTTAGATCATGACCGAATGTTCTAAAACACGATAATACAATGATTTTACTTTGTAAACTTGTTCCAAACGGCTTTATTTAATGTTTCTGCAATGTTATGTACATCATTGTACCATCCATATAGTATGTATGGTGAGCTGATCAAGTAATAACTCAATTTATGTCATGACCAAAACTGTCATTTACCGCAACTTAATATGTTGTGGTCATGACAATAGTTACAATTTTCAACTCAAACTTTTTATCATTTTTTAATTCTGCTATAATAACAACATATATCATTAAATATTTTAAACTATCAACATTATAATTGATTTTTTATTTAATAAAGCATAAAACAATTGATTTTTTAGTGTTTCGTAAAGAGTTGGACTTGACAGACAAAAATCATGCAGAATTAGACCGTTTAATTTATTCGACGTTACATTGTTTTTTATTTTTATTTTTATTGGTGTTTTGGGGTTTTTATTTTAGAATTATTCATTGACATTTTTACATGTATTTCAAAGCAATGTCATGACCAAAAATTTGATGTCATGACCGAAAATTTTAGTCATGACCACAGCTCTAGTTTTTCACGCAAATAAAATTACATGCTATTGATTATAAGTAAAAAATTAGCCTTAGTGATATAAATTACTTCATTTTATGCATGTTACTTCCTAAAACGTATTAATATTGTTTTTTTACAACAACAAAAATTGATTTTGTAATTACTCAAATAGCATATTTTTACATCTGGCGATTTATTTTGCCCCCCACAGAATAGAAACGTATTGCAAAATTCTACAACTTCTATTATATAACAGAGTATTAATTTTCTTTTCATTGGTAAAAGAAATATTTCTTTTCAATATATAGAAAAATATAAACTGCATGTTTTTTTATCGTTGCGGTCATGACCAAAGCATAAAAAATTTGATTTTATTTCCTAAATTTAATAAAATCTGTTTACTTTGACTCGTGACTAGCGTTGAAATTAAAGAGCATATGTATTGCAAAGCTCATTGAAGCATGTTGGACACAGAAAGAAGAAAGAGCAATATTAACTCCTTCACTTATGAAAATTGTCTCAAATTTGTGGAATCACCCACAAATATCTTTCAGCTAACCTTGACGGATGATCATCAGCAACTATTTTGGATGGATACAATATGTTAATTAATGTATAAACACAGAAATTACTGTGAAAAAAAAATTGTCTACCTAAGCCAGAAGTTATATTTATGAAAATATACACTGGTCTCCTTAAGCCATATGAGAGAAACATAAAATATTAGGGAGACCACTTTTTTCATATATTTTTAGTAGGCAGGTTTACTAAAAAAATAAAGCTAGAGTCAGCTAAATGGTGTTCTATAGATCATAGATCTGGTATTCCTCTTTAGAAAAATGCATAATTAAAAAAAATGTATATTGTCTCCTTAAGCCATATATAAAGGTATGGTCTCCCTATTCCATAAATCAGAGTTATATATATATATATATATATATATATATATATATATATATATATATATATATATATATATATATATATATATATATATATATATATATATATATATATATATATATATATATATATATATATATATATATATATATATATATATATATATATATATATATATATATATATATATATATATATATATATATATATATATATATATATATATATATATATATATATATATATATATATATATATATATATATATATATATATATATATATATATATATATATAAAACACTCTTTCTTGCATTGTAATTTAATCAAATGACTCATTTGTTATAAATATATTAAACGATTTCTTAATAGTAAACTCATAATAAAGGGGAGTAATCAAATGTTGAACCCCCTTTTGATTGGTAAATCTGGATCTTGAATCTCGAAACTCGAATTTCGAATCTTGAATCGAAACTCGTATTTCGAATAAGCCTGTTTTCGTACGAATAGGCATAAAGATATTGTTTCATTAAAAAATAAAATCATTTGGGATAATATATGTGTACATTGTCATAGTATATATATAAAATAATATATATATTTTGTCAAACAGCTTAAAAATATATGGTTAATGTTCATAACGGATTGTGTCCATATGCATTGAATTTTTTGCCACCTCTCTACAAACACTAAATAATTTGTCAAGTTCAATTTCTGTGTTTGATAAATGAGTATGTGTGATATATTTTTAAAAACAATATGCTTAATGAACATAACTCAGTTCCTTTTTGTAATTTTAAAATGATCTCTGATTTGAAAATGTTTGGTGTCTTGACCGTTACGAACACAATAGCTTTCAGTATGATTGCTAAAATAACGACCAATAAATCATAAGTTTGGCAAAGGAAGTCCGTAGCAGTGGTATAATTATAAATTGAAAACGAAAGTAGAAAGGTGACACAGCTGTCTGCTAGAAATGATGGCGATGCTCATTGTGTCCATGAGGAAAAAAGAAGTTACGTACATAATAGATTCGGTAAGTACATTCATATTGTATCAATTTGAGTGAATGTGTCATTGTATCTTCATATCATGTAGCTAATTATCAGAATCTAAAATATGTCGTTTATGACCATACAAAATGCATAAATCTGTCCGAGTCGAGTACTTTCGGTTTAACATTTGACTTTTGATTCGTGTCTTTTGTTACGAACATAAGTGTTTTTACATTATTTATATAATATAAAGTTACATTTTACTATATTTTATTCTATATTTGTTAGCTTTGTTCTGTTTTTATCAAAGATGAATACTTATTGAATATTTTTTTTTTAATATTGCCATATCGTTTACGAAATTACGTTCGTAAAGGAGTCACAGAAACTTGAAGTAGTGACATATTTGTGCTTTGATTGCCTTGTTTCTGTTTTTTTTCAAGGATATATAATAAATATAATTAAACAGCATATCTATTGATTACATCATGGTGTGTTTTGTTTTATATCTTTTTTTTTTCTTTCAGATTTACAAGAAATGACTGAATCATGTTCTTAACAATGTCGCAAAGATCCACAAGACTCAAAAAAGAAGACCTAGGATATTTAGCAATCCATTTGTCAATTAACTTGTCTGTATTAATTCTCTTTGAAAGCTAGTCTATTATTAAGCTTTGAAATGAAATATTAAAAGTATTAAAGACAAGTGTTCGATTGTCTTGTTATTTTTTCTTCCTTTTTAAGGCCTGATTCGGAGTTAATTAGGTGTCCATGTTACTAACATAATTTCTCCTTTTTTGAAACTAGAAATAAATTGTGACGTTTTAAATAAATTCCATTTAATATAACATTAAACCTGATTTCATCATACCTTATTTATTACATTATTTTCATATTTTAACAACTTGTTAATCTCTAGTAATATGTTACTTGTTTAGTGCTAATGTAAGTAACGGTGTCCATTGGAAATCTTGGATATATTTTCTGATAATAATGAAATAAGGCAGAAATAAGTCATGCAATAAAACATGCAAACTAGTCTTTATATAGTACTTCAAAAAGGATTCACCAGAAAAAAATAGCTTATTAATTTAAAAAACAGTCACTGTAGACACCAAGTTACGTACATAAAATTTCAAACATGCTTGTACATTTGGACACCTATCTCTTCTTTAAGACTTCAGATTATCTTCCAATCACGTTTTTTTTTCAGGAACAGGGCACTAACTCAATTAATATACATAAATTATAAAATTGATTATTTTTGAAAAATAGCCCTTCTGTCACACATCTGTTTTCAGTTTTGATTGATTGATTGATTGTATATTGTTTAACGTCCCTC